GGGGGTTGTGGAAGGGGGAGAACAAATGGGACAGAGATAGATGGTGATCACCGAGCTATCTTTTGCTTTTACTAAATAATAACTAACCCCTCCTGTCCTTCTCCTCTTTTCTTTCGCCTATAGCCTGATGTGGTCAGTATTTGCCGCTGAGCTGGCTTGTCGACTTGGGATGTGGGCAGGTATGCTCGCGTCTTCGATCTCGGCGGGGGCGGCGGTGAAGGTTAGCACTTTGATTGTTCTTCGGAAGAGGGAGAGGAGGGAACGAAGGAGGAGAAGGTGGTTGTGTATTAGTCTGTCTTTCTGCTTGTTGTGTGTGTTTGTGTGTGTGTGTGTGTGTGTGAGAGAGAGAGAGAGAGAGAGAGAGAGAGAGAGGTTGGATCGGTGTGAAAATTCTTTCGGTATATTTTCAATAAAGTTCTTTTTTTTTTGTAAGTTTTATTTCTGCCGTTATTGCGATCCGGGAGAGGAGGGGTGGAATACGTATATATATATAATGCTGATTTGGGTAGTTCCTACTAATTAGAAATAATACTACCTAGGGAAATGGAGAGAAGAAAGAAAATCAGCACTGTCCTGTGGTCAGTGTCGAGGATACAGGACAGGCTGGTCTCCGTTCCATGTGATTGACCTTCCTTCGTCTTGCTGTCTGTTATCCGAGTGATGATTTTGGCCCATCACCACTCTCTCTATTAATCCACTTATTTATCCATCAGTTGTCAATATTTGATTAATCTCTGTTTTGTTTTGTCTCCCTTGCTTTCTCTCTCGTTTTCTCTCTTTCTATCTCTCTCTCTCTTTCTCTCTTTCGCGGGTTTCGTGTCGGGTTTTCGAGTGTCTTCTTTGTCTGCCTAACTCTTTCTTTCCGGCCACATTCATTCGCTATGTAAAGTTTATCGCCGCAATCTTCGACGGCCTTGTTCCTGTTCTCTCGTCCTATTCGCTCCGTTCCTTTCCCGCGTGATCCCTCCCTCCACTCGTTTTAGTTCCCGCCCTATCTCAATGATCAACGGTTGGGCTCCCTCGTTTTTAGCAGGGTTGCAGTCCCGGATGGTTGCAGTCTCGCTCCTCCCGCCCAGGCAAATTAGAAAAGATTGGAAAGTCTTGCCAGAGAAGGTGATAGCCCTGTATATTTTGTCCAATGGTTTTCATTTCAAGAAGTAAGTAAAACGCGCGCCGTGTTTGAATTCTGTGGGGGACCACCCTCTAAGCCTAAGTATTTCCCATCTCCTCCTCTCCCTGATCTTTACGACGACCTATTTCTTACCCTGATTGACGACGACCTATCGTTTCGTATTCTCTCTTCGCCGACGGTCTAAATTGGGTGCGCGAGTGAGCAGGTGATGCTCTCTCAACCAGTTCACACGAGCCTGAGTTGACGAACCTAGCTTCCAACGCTTGCGAGCCTGCAACTGCGCTTTTTCAAAGTGGCCTGCAGCTGTTGCTGCCGATCCAGGCCCGAATCGAAGTGCTCTTGCCGCGTAAACCGGCGAGAGCAGTAACTCTGCTTCGTGTGCACTGGCGGTTTAAGAATGTCTGTCTTCTATTTGCCCGGTAGAAAAATGACATGTGCTAATCAGTAGTAACTTAACCATCTATGCCCGCCAATCTGCCTTTCTGCCTCGCGTCAATCACAGACTCGCCTTTTTTGCATGGTAATTAGTGGGTATTGGAACTCTTGTAGCTTTCTTTCTGCTTATGTTTTCACGTACGTGGTGCTCTCCCGCACTCCTTTGCAACCGTCTCTCTCTCGCTCTCTTTCTTTGCCACTCAACTCTCTCTCTCTCCTGTGCATCCCCACTCTTTAGTCTCACGCACTCATCGTTCGTTTGCTTTCTGCCTCACATCTCTCTGTCTCTCTCTCTCCCCCCGTACCCTCTCCATCTCGTTCCTCCTCTCTCTACCGATCTTTCTATCCCACTTGTTTTCTCTCTTTCTTTTTGATGTAAGTCGGTGTCTTATGAAGGCTTTTTATCTACCGTTGTCTTGGATGCTTTCTATTTTTCACCCTCTACCCTTTCTCTCTCCTCTCTCCCCTGATTCTCTCGTTCTCATCTTCTCGTTCTCAAGATCTTTGATGAGGTGTGATCTGTGGTCGACGGACTGCACCATCTCCTTGCGAGAGCTGCTACTTCATTGATTTTGTCGGGCTGCATTTCAGATTCTGATCTGTCTAATGGAAGTGGTCACTTAATGGAGTGCCACGTGTGAGTCGTGCGCCGTGCAGTGAAAAACGATGATGTTGTGCGGATTCTCAAAACCTATTATTGGTGGTAGTGACTATGGGGAAGTCTTCCGAGGTCTGCCCAGGACGTGAGACGTGTCTACGTGTCTACGTGTCTACGCTGTCTAATATGATGATGTAAGCATGCAATGAAATGTATAGCCCTCTGTGTATCTTGAGGTGGCGTCTGATCCCCTGCCTTCCTTCCCCCCTCCCATTACGGTATTTTGGGGTGACTTCTAGCCCCCGCCTTCACGGTATTTGGGGTGGGGGACTGCTGCCGCGTCCATCGCCCTCTCCCGCCCCCCGTTGAAGGTATTTTGGGGTGTCGTCTATCCCCCTCTTTAAGGTACTTCGGGGGAAAGGGGGCGGCGTCTAGGCCCCGTCCTCTGTATTTCGGGGTTGGCGTCCAGCGCTGTGTTTTGGGGTGGGGATTAAAAGCTCGTACAGTTTGGAGCTACATACTCTCACGTACTCTATACTCTTCCGAAAAACATGTCTGCGTTTATTTCAGAACAACAACAAAAGAACCGTCTGCGTAGACGATGAAGCCGATGTAAATAGGGTTTTGTGTTTTTATGGCTCTTCTCGGAGGTAGGTAGGGTAGGCAGGGCATTTCCTCACTCTCGTAGGGAAGGAGTAGGCGTACTTGGGACGCGGCGTCAGATCCAGTTGAACAAGGCCTAACACAGTAAATCTGTGAACATGGCCTTGGACTTTTGTTTTTGTTTTGGGCAAACAGTTTGTCGGGGATGACCTGCTACGTGGCGGGAAACGAGGAGCGGCGGGAACCTCAGCGTACGGAGAAATGCGTGGCAGCGTGAAAACGACTTTCGACAGACTAAATCACCGTGTGTGTGACACGTGTTATGCGGAGAGAAGCAAGGTGAGACTAGAGGGGGAGGAGGCAATGAGGTAAGGAGACGAAAGAGTTCCTATCAATCCAAGTGATTACACGTGTAGATGTCCGGCGCATGCCACGTGGAGCCAACAGGGGGATCATTTTTTTAATCTCTTTTCAGGGGCGGGATCATGTTGGTTTCAATCCTGCTGGATTTCCATTCTATTACTGAAAATAATGTGAGCAAAGTACAACCTCCTGCTTCGAGCGATTTGCTGAGATACCCACGAATGGCAGGAGAGCAGCACGTAGAGCGAGTTAGGCTAGTCTCCCTTCCTCCTCCTCCTCCTCCGCCTCCTCCTCGTTTGCCTCCACCTCATAGTGATCGGTTGGGTGGAATTGCACTCGGAGATTTGATCGTAAGTAATCAATGCAGGATTCGGAGAGGGAATACTTGCTGAAGCATCTCTAACACCCCTCCCTCTCTCTCTCTCTCCATCTGTGCTGTAGGACTATGTTGCCCAGCATTCCTATAGGTTGATCAAAATTCAGCATGTCTGTCGACCCTTGCCTCGATCGTCTTGTATGTCTTCCCCTCAATCGTCCTCTCTTTACATCGTCGTCTTCTCTTTTGGATTATCATCTTTTCCTTTTTCAATTTAGCAGGAAGTCCTAAGGAGAGTGATGTGATATCTTCATCGAAGAAGGCTAGCTTGCGTGATCGAATGCGACGAGATAGAGAGCCTTCTTCTCGAGTCTTCGACTGGCGGTCTCATAGTTTTCCTCACTAGTCTCTCGTTGGAACGCTCTTATTTGATTTCTACTTGCGCAATGAAAACCACCTGCTTCATGCCGATGAACGTGCCTCAATGGACGGAGGGATCTCCTCTCTCAAGTATGGTGGCGTTGTTACTCCCGTTTACCTTCGTTCACATGTTTATGTGTTGCATGAAGAAGGTCGTTTCTCAAAGACGATTGTTCTTTTTATGATATATTTTTGTTGATATTAATTTTCTTCCCTCGTTATGAACTTACGGTCGTATATATTTTCTTAAAGAGGATCGCAAGCCAGCCGTGCATCCTTTTCCCCCACTCCTTTTCTTTTTCTTTTTTCATTTCCCCCCCCCGGTTTTTAACAAGGGAAAATAGTGATCACGTTGTGCACTCGCACCAGGATTTCGGTGAGAAAAAGAATGGCAGTGTTTTTTTTTCACATTTTTTCTTTGGGATGTAGCTGGCTTTTATGACGGCCAGGTTCATGAGCAGGAGTCAACTCCAGTGCACAAACAAGAGGGAAGAAAAAGTCGAAATGTGAGCCTGCCCTAAGCCTCGGTAGATGGAGTGTTGCTATTTTACTGATGAGCGCGAAGTAAAGAAAAAGATGGAAGTGTCATCGATGAAAGGGAAGGGTCAGAATGTGAAATAGACGAGCACTGCGCGGCTGCATCTTTGGATTCACTCAGTTATCGGACATAAATATTGAGATCTTCACCCACAAAACTTCCGGGAAGAAAAAAAAACGAGCTTTCTTCTTTCTAACCTTCCCCTCCCTCTCGCGAGGCAGACCTCCTGCCCCCCTTATGGACTTATCCTCCTCTTTCTCTTCTCCTCCCCCCCCCCCCCCCCCCCCCCCCCCCCCCCCCCCCCCCCCCTTCCCTCCTTCCGGTATCCTGTCACCTGCAGTTCACCAAAAGGCACCTATTCACCTTGTTCGGTGAAACCCAGCTTACGTTCGGCGTTTCACACGTTCCCGTTAGGTAAGGAAGGGAGGGCGGGGGGAAAGGAAAGGAAAGAACCACCATCCCCCGTCCTGGGAAAGCCGCATCTGGTGTGATGAACCCCCTTTTGTTCCCAAGGAGCATTTCAAGACCTCCCCACACTACTCACAAACTGGTCATCTGCGTCCCGGCCCCTGCTACTCACAAACTGGTCGAGATATCTTCGTTCCGCCCCCCGCTACCCACAAACTGATCCAGATGTCTGCGTGGGTAGACTGTAGTTGTTTGTTTTCCTTTTTTTTCCTGGGACTGATTATCGTTGCTGGATGCTGTCGTCGTATTTATGTTTGATAACTGACTGAATCCAAAGATTCAGCCACGCAGTGCTCTTTAGCGCACGTGCTGGCACGGGGAGAGAGAGAGAGGGAGAGTGAGAGGGGGGGAGAGAGAGAGAGAGAGAGAGAGAGAGAGAGAGAGAGAGAGATGCAGTGACTCTTTTCCTAGACGTCGAGGGGCAGAGAGTTCTCTTGACACAGAGAGAGAGAGAGAGAGCACCGAGGAATGCTGTCCTTGATGTTTCCTCGGGAAGAACTGGCTGGCTATACACTACTATAAGGGCCTCCTTTTTTTTTAAGGCTTGAAGAAGGAGAGAGTGCACTGGGGACACCCGTCGCATGGATCAACTAGGGGGAGGGAAAAAGATGGGGAACAGAGATGGAGCATGTCGATGGAATGGCAAATTTCACGGAGTATGTGCCCATCTCAAGTCCCTTGGTTTCATTTGGTGGTCGTCTTCACAAATGTCATTTTTTTTCCTGCAGAAAATGAAGAAACGTTGAGCCCGTTCCTTTCGAGAGAAAGTCAGGCCAAGGAAAGGAAAATGGAAAGTCTGTAGGCTGTTTGCCCGGGCGCCCGTGCACCCAGCTTGTGCCCGGAGACACGCCGAATGCCCGGCCGGGCAAAAAGTTCTAGAAAGAAAATATGTTGTTTAGAATTGTTTAAATGACTTTTGGCTGAGGGAACATCAGAACTCACCAAATCGAAGATAAAAAGGAAACTGTTGTGATCCTGGCCAATTTCGATATACACATTCATCAGATAGTACAATGTCGTCCAATTGCAGAAAGAAATGAATGAACTTGAGAGGAGAGAGAAGGTTAGAAGAAGAAGTAAGAAAGAAGAAGAAGATGATGTACACCAGCATGGACAAATGATAAAGCTCTTCTTCTTCGCTCAACCCTCTCTTCCTCCTTATCTCCTCCTCTCTTATTCACACAAGAAATAATAATACAATGTTGAATAGCTGAACCAGAATCGAAGTCCGAATCCCTCTTTTACTGCAGGTATCACTTGAGGTCCACCATAGCCATGGACGCCTCTCCTGCTCTTCAGAATGTGTATCTCGAAATTGGCCAGGATCATAACAGTTTCCTTTTTATCTTCGATTTGGTGAGTTCTGATCTGCCCTCAGCCAAAAGTCATTGGCGTTGCAATTCTAAACAACATATTTTCTTTCTAGAACTTTTTGCCCCGCCGGGCATTCGGCTGGGCATTCAGATAGTACAATGTCGTCCACTTGCAGAAAGAAATGAATGAACTTGAGAGGAGAGAGAAGGTTAGAAGAAGAAGAAGTTAGAAAGAAGAAGAAGATGATGTACACCAGCACAGACAAATGATAAAGCTCTTCTTCTTCGCTGAACCCTCTCTTCCTCATCTCCTCCTCTCTTATTCACACAAGAAATGATAATACAATGTTGAATAGCTGACCCAGAATCAAAGTCAGAATCCCTCTTTTACTGCAGGTATCACTTGATGTCCACCATAGCCTCAGCCTATGAGAGTGAAGAGTGGGAGAGGCAGCCATGGCTATGGTGGACATCAAGTGATACCTGCAGTAAAAGAGGGATTCTGACTTTGATTCTGGTTCAGCTATTCAACACTACGGCTGCTCTAGCTCAGGCCGCCATGCCTGACTCTGCCTCCAAGCTTCTTGGTGTAGCTCAACCCCAGGTGGGGCCTTCCTGCTGCAGCACCCACCAAGGTGATGAAGATGGCTGCCACCATAGCCAGGTAAGTACCTCTGGCGCTCCTCCTTCTTCCTCCTCCGAGTCCTTGATTCTTCCCCAGCAGCACTCCAGCCAGTGTCTCGCCAAACTTGCACACTGACAATGAGGCTGGGCTCTTCGCCCGGCCTGGAGATATAGTGGCCTGCTTGCCTTTTGGGCGGTGACTTCCAGGCCGCTCTGCCTTCCAAGCAACCAGTACCTCCGACCTTTCGGAGGGAAACATCATTGCAGACTCTGATATTGCTCGTACAGGCCCTAGACTCAGACTGGTACCCGCTTGACGGAATGAATGGAGTTGTTGTACAACCGCTTGACGGAATACGGCTCTTCGTCCCATGTTTCATAAAGCGCGGAGAAGTTGTAACACAGTCTGGTTGATTTCCTCAGCCAAACCGTTGGCTTCGGGGTGTTGGCCAGATTTCATGCATAGCCTGAGGCCAGGGAGTTGGGATGTGAAGTCTTTCCATTCAGTACTGATGAAGTGCGGATCCCGATCATTCATGAGAGTTTTCGGGGTTCCGAACTGCAGAATGTACTTCTGTTTGAACTCACGGATCACCAATTCGGTTGGAGCATGAGATGGCAAAGGAATCAGATTAAACCACCAGTACTTGGCCCAGCTATTGATGCCGAGCTTAAATATGCCCTGCGCGCCAATCTTTGCCGAGCCTGGAAGGGGCGGGAACCGGTAGGGGGCATTTTGTGGTTGGCACAGGTACCGCCCCTTGAGCTGGACCTGCAACCAGCAGCTGGTACGAAACGGGGTAGCTGTTTTCACTCGTACATTAGCCCACGCCGGCCACAAGTGAGAAACGGTGCCAAAAAGAAAAAAAACAACTAAAAAAGGCAAGAAGGGTGCTCTAAGCTCTGTCAGTGGCCCGCCGTGAGCTTTTCTGATGTGCTCCCCGTGAAGACAAAAATAATGGCGGAAAAGAAAAATAAAAATAAAAAATGGCGGTGTACCTCTTTCCACCTTCCAGCAGATGATTTAGTCTCCCCACATGTATCTTTCCATGTTGTAGGGGAGGATTCAGTCTCAAAAGTAAACCAAAAGACAAAAAAGATGGAAATGTATCTTTCCATGTTCTAGGGGTCGATTCAGTCTTATTTTGCACAAGTCGGACCAAATCTTCTTCCAGAGACGAAGGAAAAAAAAGACTGAAAAGGGGAAAAAGGATTCAAAGCGCCGCCCTCAGTGCTGTCGGAGGCCGGCCTCCCACGGCGGGCAGAAGGAAGAGCTCTGTGGCAACTCTCCAAACGTGAAGGCATGAGACGGAATCCTGCTATGGAACATGGAAAGATACATTTTCAGTTTTTTAGCAGTCCTGTAGTAGTGTAGAGAGACCCAACCGAGCTGGCCCTTCGTCTGCCCGCCTGCCCGCCGTGAGAGGCGGCGCTCTGAAAACACTCAAGGGCGTTATCTCATTCCTTTTGGCCGCCAAGTGGCGTGTACGACTTTGTTTTTTTTTTCTTTTTTTTTTTTTCCTGCACTTGTCTCGTTTTTATTTTTATTATTATTTTTTTTTATGGCCTATACTGCGTTTGTGCATTGTTTCCACACGCACGGTATAAACCAAGGGGACAGACTACATTCCATTTGTGATTTTTCTTGGGCCCAATAACTTCTTCATCGATAGCAGTACCGGGCCTTCTCCGAAGCC